CCGCCCGTCCGAGAACACTGGGTATGGGAAACTCCGTAGGTTGGTTCGACCAACCTGTTGAAGCGGATCAACACCGTGAAACACAAGCGAGAGGCCTACAACGACGTCAGAGGAAAACGGTAAGTCTTCCCCAATGGTACGGAAGGCGACTTGGTGAGACTTGCAGGAGAAATGCGATGGTTACTCTCCAGTCTTGAGTTATTAGTCCAAGAGCCAGCTGTTGGTCGATTCGTTAGCATGATCAACATGAGAAAGACGCGTAACATTACCGGCAACTCCACGGATGCTCGGGCGAGCTGGTCTCCGGCCAGTTCTCCAAAGATGCTGCACATTTCGCGTCGAGGAATCTAGGCTCAGTGAGTCTTCACATAGGGTGGAGATTCAGGTTCATTTCGTGACTCGAACATAATGCGATGTCTGACAGGACCCCGCCTGTCCGGAGAAGTCGGACCCCTGCGCATGTGCAGTCGGGACGACATGCATACTCGACCAATCGAATTGATGAGACTGAGATATAGAGAACAATGGGTTCAGCAGCTCTCAACCCAATGAGAAAGCCAACGAAATCCCACCGCCAGGCCTGAATGCGAAGAGAGGGGTCCGGTATATAGACGGCAGTCCGAGGGGAGTTATGATGAAGCACGACGATGATTCCACAGGAGAAAAGCAGGTCCCAGTGGCCGTCCCATCCTTCAAAACAACAATGAATTCGAGTTGAAGGAGGAACGAATCTAAAGGCTGGATCCTCACGTCAGAGAGATCCGAAGGTGAGAAGTCTCTAGATGACGGTCCTTTAAATTGGGGTATGTAGATGAAGAACAATGCTGCACGTTTTAACTGACAAGGCAAAGGCAAGGCGTGGATGGAAATATGGAAGTTGATAACAATGGGTTTCTACTGTCGTTGACACTTCTCCATCCGAAAGACAAGAGCAGCTCGTACTCTGGGTCCTTGCAGTTGCTGCATCGACAGAGTGCGTGCAATCAGCAGAAGGCGATGATGGCGAGGAGTGGACGCAGAGGGTTGGGACTTTCCGGGCGACGAGCGGGGGTTGTGAGGTGTGTAGAGGTGGAGATAATGGGAAAGGGGGAGCAGCTCGCGTATATGAAGTTTTTGGGAAGCTGTTCCAGCGTGCATCCATGACAAAGCTGTGAAAGGGGATCGATAACCCAAAAGGCATGCGCGGATACAGCAGAAGACGACAACAGCGGAGGAAACCCAGAGGTTACCCCCCAAGAACCCGACTGGGGCTTGCAGAGAATGCGATAGATCTTCTTGAGACATAGTACAAGAACTAGCTGTCGGTCGATTCGTTAACCACCAGACTAGCATGAGAAGGAGGTGCACACTCACTGGAAACTCCGTGTACCTTCCAGTGAGCTGATCTCCAGTTACTCTTCCAGAAACCCCATCTACCTTCTAGTGAGCTGATCTCCAGCCGCTCTTCAAGAGACTTTTCGCGTAAAAGAAGCTGGGTTCAACGAGCCGAACATCTTCAAAGAACTCGGATGCTTTGGGTTGTTTTCAAGGCATCCTAACGACGATGCAAGAGGGTTCCAAAGATGTCGTTCGTCTGTCCTGGCTAAGATTTCGAAAGCACGACTGAGGCAGAGGACAGACTGGTAGGAAAATGGGTGAGTTGAGCTGTTGGATGGAGGGCGCAAAAGAGGGGGGGAAGAAAACAAGTGAAATAATGAGATTGGAGGGTAAATCGGAGGAAAGAAATTGCGAACGAAAGTGAAGTTGCAGTCATAGGAACCAATATGCGCCGAGCTTGGTGGAAGACGAAAGCGTAAGAAACGCGAAGAAAGGGCCAAAAAGGAGACAATAGGAGGTTGAAATCAAAAAGGACACCCACCTACGCGGACTCAATATGAAGGCGCATACAGTCGATCTTGAGCTTGACAATCCGCATCCAAAGTTAGGCCCAAGTACGTGCTTCGCTGGTGGACCTGGCTTGCTTCCCAACATGCTGGACTATGCCGGGAAGGTGGAGAAGTACATCGAACAAGCTTGCCGTTGGTCATTGTGCATCTTTTCGTGTCCAAAATCGAGGTCGTTGCAGCAGTCCCAATCCCAGTTGGCGATCCACTCGACCCACCAGCACTCCCCTCAACGTTATCCTCCTTCCTCACCACCGCGAAATAAACAGCAAGAACCACCACCAAGCTGACGATAAGGATGGCACCCAAGACGCCTAGCAAAACTTTGGTCCGTCGTTTACTCGCTTTCACTTGAAATCTGACCACGGTCGGTTCTTCGGCTAGTGAGTCGCCCAAAGCCTCGTTATCCTCAGGCTCCGGATCCACCCCCGCCACGCAAACTGCAGCCGACGGAAATGATTGGATTCCATTTGAGGTAGTACTATTCGTCGCACCGAGGGCTTGAAAAGAATCCGCAGTAAGATGAGCACTCTGATAGGAAGGCGGGTGTAGAGCCTAGAAAGTAATCGGACCAGCGGAAGGGGAAAAGAGTGGCCTGATCGAGGAAAATGTGAGTCGTCTGCCGTTCGGTCGAAGATGACGGGGGTTGGGCGTCTTGTGGGAGGTGGTCAAGAGCTATGGTGATTGGCGCTGGAAGCAGGTCTGCGAATCCGGTTGGTTAAAGGCGCCGATTGGTCTGTGGCCGACGACCGTAGTCTCGCGACAGTGTGCCTCTTCTTGCACGACGGGGGCGATGTAAAAGGATGGTAGGCTGTCGAATCTGTGGCACGTCGTACGAGCAGAATCGCCAAGGCTTTCTCTAGGCAATTGTCCAACACTGCAACATTGCCACAGCATCCAAGGCGATCAGGAGTTGAGACGACGGGAGGTAACGTCGGACGGTGGAGCTGGAAGGGATTGGAAATGCCAGGTGTATGGAGCAGAGTATTGAGGGTGAAAGACGGCAGCAGTGCTCTGGGGTTTCGTAGCTTTCGGGTGAGGTGATACTGCACATTGTAGTGGCCATACTTGGAGGCCCAGCTAACCGCCACGTAGTAGCACGTTGCGGGGCTTCAAAGAACTAATATTAGAAAGCGAAACAGGCGGCATGAATGGCAAACGCACCTCAGTTATCCAACCCTGCTTCAGCCATCAAATGTCCTCAGGCGAACTCGTGAAGGTGAACGGATCACTATATCATCCTAGTGTTAGGTCTTGAGGGGGCGGAGCCAATGAGAGCGACAGCTAGCGGCCCTGTAGTCCGCGCGACGTGTTGAATGTGTTGGTCGAGGACGAGCCCATGATGATGGTCAAGATCAAACCTGGTTCAAATTTGTAAACATGACAACAAGCACGTCTCCTCTTTGACCTCTGTCGTTCGTTGCGGAAAAGGCACCCACTGGAACTTGTGCTCATTATGACCTGGTTGGTGCTCTAGGATGTCTGCTTATTCTGGCCTACGCGATGGCCCTATGTCTGGTGCTCTAGGTACTTTTGCGAGAATCAGGAGTCGTTCCTACGGCGGCTCATACCAACATACGATTCCAGTAATGTATTTTTTGTCCCTCTGCCAATTGAACTCTTATCAATCCTTTCGTTAGTCGTCAGATTCCAGTGTTGTCCCTAAAATGAAGCCCAGAACGTATGACTTCCTCGCCCCAACGCCGTATTTGTAGACGATTTCCTGTCTACGAATAATCTTCAAATACGTATTTAACAAGGCTTCAACTTTGTTGGGGGCCAGCGGGCCACTTCTGCCGTGCCTCTGTCTCCTGAATCCCCGTGGATTGGCATAAGAACGGCAAGGAGTTCTTTGCTGTTTCGCTCTCCGTTCTCCCGCTCATTATTATGACACCTAAAATTAGGTCCTTTAATATATCGCAAACCGTGCACTATGTTATTCCTCATGATTGACGAAGGGGCTCGTCAGCATGATATCTATGGATAGTTCCCACTTTTTTTACGGTCCCTCCCTACACGAAATGCAATCCGGACAACCTAGGCCACTGGAAGGACGAAGGTGGGCGCTACGGGGTAACATTTGAGCGCCAGTGACAGAGAATCAAGACCTCCAATCACGCAACTGTACTGCCAACTTCAAATCCCACTCAACAACCCTCAAGGTGTAGCAGGTGCAGCGGATGATCGTGACTGATCGGTGAACCCCTGCTATCAAGTGAGTACTCCACCTTTTATCATTCCAAGATGTTGTTAATGTATTGCTCAATAGGCGTCAACGTAAAGATGTCGCGGCGCGAGTTTGGTGGTTCTTTATTCAATCATGAGCTCTCGCTGAGGCACTCTCTTTTCGTCCAGATTTGTTTGAGACTGGAACCGGCCTGGCGGCGCAATGTTACCTACCCTGGGCAGGATCACTTCGTCTTTCCTTGCCAGAGATCGATGGTTGAACGGTGAACGAGCTAAACGTCGTCAAAAAATGTTGATGGCTTCTGGCGAATATTGACTTTATGGAGGCTCGCCGTAGGGAGGTTGCAGTGTGGCCGGCTTGAGTAAAGACTGAGCACGGTGACCCCCATCATTGCAATTATCAATTATTTTGAAGCTCACACCCAAGTTTAGCTTGCGTCTTACATCGACGGCTGTGCCCAGTATCAAGTAAAATAGCAAGGAAGGTATGCATCACAATACAAGATGCATAAAGCGTGTTGCTCAACTGGAGTTTTGTGCAGCAGAAAGTCGAAGCGGTTATACTTTGCGTCTCAGTTTCAGTCGTTCCGGTCTCACGATTATCCATTTCGATTGCGAAACCGAGTGTACTTAGTAGAGCGTAAACGGCTCAAACGCCGCAGTGTTTCTGTAGGATTAAGTGAGGGTCTAACTGAGGAAGCAAATGAGCTCTCCTCCCTAAATAAAATACCTTCGTCTAAATAGGTAATAAGTTGAACTCGAGAGTTGAGAGGGAAGCGCTTCCGGCGCCTCTCGAGTGGGCTCACATGATGACCTGCCCTGATCATGAGGCGATGCAACCGCAACCGCCTCTCGGCGCCTCTCGTCTTTCTCATCAACCACCATCACCATGAACGTGAACATCGCTAGCAGCACCAACAGCACCGACAATATGTTTGGATTGGATCCCGGAGCGGGTGACTTTCTGCGAGATTGCGGCAGAGGTGGTCTTCAGGCACTCGAGATTGTCGCTATGTCTGGGAATGTTTTTTCGCCGAGTTTGAAAGCGGTTGTCGCCGACACCTTGGCCATCATTGGCATGACTAAGGTCTGTACTGCTGATCAAGCTGATCTGCTTCATCTATCTAATGGTGAGAAATAGAAATTTAAATCCAATAAGAAAGCCTGGGCTGAGTTCTCGGAGAATCTCATCGGGCAGGTTGAGCGGGTTGTTCAGTATAATGGGAAGGATCAGATTCCGCGTGCTTGGCAATCAAGGCTTGAGCATCTCAAAGGGTGTGTGGTTTTGGTATATCTGTTGCTGATACCAATTGAATCTGGGAGACTCACGAGAGTTTTGAACTATTTGAAAGAAAGAGTTGCAGATGTTCAACCCACCCAAGGGAGGAGGTTTCCAAGTTTCACAGAAGATATGGCATACATAGAGGAGCTCAAGGGCAAGTTGAATGAAGCCATGGGCACTTTCAATGTATGTGAATTGTTTCTGTCATTTAACCAACTCATTGTCACTAAGTTTCAGGCATGTCAAGGAAATATATACAAAAGTAGTATGTCAAATTATCTTCTTTTTATTCTTCCATTAGTTGTTAAGATCTCACAGGGATTGAAACCAAGGAGATTTGTATAGAGGCTGATACTACAGTGGCAAAACAATCCAGTGAGCTAATTATCTGACACCTTCCAATCTTCTCTTTTCTTGATTCCTCTTGCAAACTTTTTCTAGTGCATCAAGTAAGCGTTCTGGCAGGGGCACAGGATATTCAGATGGGCCATGCTGTGATTATTGCTGCAAATACTGTTAGTGGCAAGTATTACATGAAGGTTCATGCTAATCTGCATCTTCATTATCCAGGTCACCTACAACAATGATGGACAACTTCCACACAAAATCAATGAGAGGATGGAAGAATCAAAGGTATGTTATGTTAAGTAATTTCTTCATAACTGATATTAGATGATTCACTAGAAAAATGAATGGTTGAAAGAATTGAAGGCTCCATCACATAAGCAAAGGGAGATATGCATGCCTGGAACTTGTATGAATGTTCTCAGAGACATCCAAGCATGGCTTCATGATCTTAACATGCCAAATATTCTCTGGCTATCTGGAAGCCCTGGTGCTGGAAAGACAACAATTGCTTCAACTGTTGTTGCTGACTTTGAATCTTTCTCTGGGCAATTCTTCTTTCAGCGTGATCAGGCTGAGTTTTGTGATCCAGACAATCTGTGGAGACACCTTGCTTTGGATCTTGCACTAGGAAACAATGCTTTAGGAAAATCTATAGCTAAGGCATTGGAGACACAGAAAGCTAACATCAGAGGTCTTGATATTTCCAATCAGTTTGAGCATCTAATTGTCAAACCAGTCCAAGAGGTCTTCCAGAAGACTGAAACACCTATTCTTGTTGTTATTGATGCTCTGGATGAATGTGACCAATACTGGAAACTTTTACCATCATTGAAATCTTGGTCTTGGCAGCTTCCCAAAATTCTCAAACTGTTCATCACAAGTCGTCGCTATCTTGATATTCAAAATTCACTGAATTCCATTAGTTACTCTATCTATCTTCATACTGGAGATAAAGTTTCTGATCAGACCTCTGATGACCTTGAGCTTTACTTTACTACAAGATTCTCTCACATGACTAGATTGCAAACATCACTGCATTGGAATTGGCCTGGTCCAGATAAAATATCTTTTCTTGTAAGAAAGAGCTGCAGGGCTCTATATTTGGGCTAAATCTGCAATGGACTTTATTTTGCACAGAGGTGGCAATGCTGAAGAAAGGTTGAATGTCATGTGCTCTGACTCTGGGGAAGGCATTGATGCCATTGACATCTTGTACCAGCACATGT